TGATTGAACGATTCTCAGAACGATATTTTTCATCTCTATTGGTATTGGTATTAAAGTCTCCCGCGGGCACTTAGGCCACCAGATGGGCCTGTTGTGTCCCCAGACCGCGCTAGAGGGCGTCCAGAATACCGCCCCTCCTATAGAAGGTCAGCAACTCCTTTAGCCCAACACTGAGCCCAGATCGATCAGGGCCATTCTGAAGACTCCAAATCTTGCCCACTCCAAAGCAGGACACTTGGTGACCACATGATACGGGGTCTCCTCCCCTTCCATGCACCACCTGCACATCTCTATTATATATATACAACTACATTTATTGCATACATTAGGTTACTACTATAATCCTCGAAATTGATCGTAGGAGCGAAAGGCCTATACGAGTATATCTGTTGGAAAATGCTAAATCGTACATCAAAGTCCATTTTTTAATGTTTTTTTTTTTAAGTTCCAAATGGAATTAAACTTATAGCAGCTATGAGTTTCACGTTTCACTGTTTAAAAGCGACGCCACAAACGTTGAAAAATATCAATATTTTGAAATTCGTTTTTAAATAAATAAATAATAAATATTATTAATATGCTAATTGAGAATGACGTCGACGGTACCGTCTGAAACCGGTAAATTAACAAATTAATTATCTTTTAATTCTATCTTTTTTTTTCAATTTTCATCTTGTCATTATCGTAATTATGTATTAATGACATTTGCCAATTACAATTTGACTCTTCTGGTACGCCTTATGTATAAATATCGTTTTAAACTTCCCAAAATCATCGACACGATTTATTAAATATCTCGAGAAGATCCATTTTCTTTTGAATTTTTTAATGTGGGGATTTGACTGGCTAGCAATTGCACACGTTTTTGTTTAATTTGAGGTTTAACATTTCGACGTGCGTGGGAAGTTGATTTTCTCATAAACGGGTATTAAGAAAGGACACTTATAATTTCACAGTGCTCAAATGGCAGGGCCGCTTACTCTCTGTTATCCGAGTCATATTCATTTCAGTTAACAATCGATAGTGTAATCAATAAATTTTTAGTTCTGGAAATACGCGTAATACATAGGCGTAGAGCTTAAGTTTTTTTAGATTCCAAATATAGACGCTACTGTTTTGGTGCTGCCTTATTGGAACCGTTTATACTGCAATAAAACAAAATGCAAATTCCAGTGTTTTCTAGATTTTTCCTGACTCTAAGTTACATTTTTACGAACTGCCTTGTATATCCACTATATTTTAGAATACCAATATCATGATTAGGTAATTTTTAAAATTTCCGAAAATTGAAGCATTAGATGTTGTTAATGGCACTCACTCACCGATAGTCACTTTAAAATCTTCCAACATTAACGAATATTATTAATTAATAATTAAATTTGAATTTGAATGGAAAACTACTGTCTGTACAAAATCCAAATTAAAATATGGAAATGTACAGCTTCCGGCATATCATTAACGTGGCAATCAGTCATCCTATCTAGTTCAAATCAGAGGTATAAAGAAATTATAATTATGTTTTATTTATTTTTGTTCTTTATAAAATTGTCTTTAAGGTAATGTCCGATAAGATTTTGATTATAAATTTTTAAAAATGGCAATAGGATGCGCGACATAAGCAGATGTCATAATTAAAATCAAGAACAATTTTGCGCGTCATCAAATTCGTGGCTTAGTGAATACTCTATTTGTACAAAGTAGGAGTTTGCGATTTTTTTCTTTGAGGCAATATCAAATACGTCGTTACCCAACTAATAATTTAGGGGAACTAACAAATGCTCTTCGGTAAGCTTTCAGGCGCACCATTGCCAGAAAATATGGCGTTTTCAGCAAACTAAAATTCAGATGTAAACAATTTCCTGTTGGTTTCGTAATTTTGAAGTCGATATTTATTTGGTTTTGTTTTTTGTGGGTTGCAGGTAATTTTGTTACCTGTTATAAGTTTTTTACTGACATAATGAGAATAGTTATTAAAAACATTATCATATATTTTTTACACCATCAAAATCCCCTCCAGTAAGTAAAATCATTGCTTGTACTATTTAACAGCATGTTCCATAAAAAAAAAAACAGGTTTATGTTGTATCTCAAGAACTAATTGCAATAAAAAAAAATGAAGTTATCTTTTTGAATTTTAATAAAATCAACTATACTGTATTTGGCTTTTTTGACGATTTCTGATTTCTGTAAGCTGCATTTAAATATTTTATGTTGGAAAAACGTGCGAAAAATTAAATTGTTTTTTTTATCGGTACATTTGAAGAAAACTGATAAAGAAACATCGTTTTTCAATTTTTTAAATTCTGATTTCTTAATATTTTTTTTATAATAAAACGTCAATTTTTAAAAACAAGACAACAAAACTTTCGTAAATTGGTTTATTTGGTTAAACTTATTTATAATAAATGTTCCCATATGATCTAGACTTTAGTCATGATACCCTAGTAAGTTGTAATATCCTAAACCAATAAATCTCATGGAAATTGGCCCATACCTTATATGCCTGTACTCCTTCTTTCGGATCTTTGGTGATCACCTCATGGCCAAGTTTTGTTGCATATTTGCGACAAATGTACTTTTAATGTTAAAAGACATTAAGTTGATTAGCATTAGAGAAATTAGAAATTCACTAAAGCAAATTAACAATAAAGTATTTACGTGGTTACCGTTCCTGTATAGAAATCGAATTCCTAGGGTGTTTTAACAAGGACCGAATGATGGTTCACTTTTTCCTATTTCGTAGAATTAAGCAAACTATCGCAATATTATTAAATGTTTTAATTTAAAGTAACGTCGCAAAAAATCACATATTTTTATTCAAAAACAGTTTATTAATACTTTCTTTAGTTTTCGAGTCAAATATTCTTTAAACAGTTTAAAGTTCCACTCAGCAAAAACCGACGAATGAGGAATCCAGAAGTTTTGTAAAAAGTATTAGAGTAGCCTGTGGAAGTTTCTTTTAAAAAATATATCACTGCTTTCAAGATTTGTACAGCTTCTTAGTAGGAACATTTTTTCAAACCCCTGATACTAATTACTATATTTATATGAAATTTTTTTATTTAACATTAATTATTTTCGATTACTCTCCATTAGTTTTTCTATATGGTAACTTTTTAGAAATGTTTAAAAATGTTATAACAATCCCATATGTAAAGACGTTCTGGCATTTTAAATTCAAAAACGTCGAAATAGTAGCTGTTTGTGTAAAAATTATGATAACAATTTACATTTTAATAACAAGTACGAAATCTCGTATTTCATTGTAGATCCTACCGACTGCGCCGGTTAACTCGGGTAAATATACTAAAACGTTTGCTTCAATTTACAAGTATTAAATTTTTCTATCTTCGGATGGGAACCGGTTGCGAGAAAAAAAAACATCGTATCGTAAGCTTGTAAGCAGTCACCTGTCCTTGCGTCGAAGGTTACTTTCGTAACTACGCCGCTGTTGTAATTTCCTAATGCATTTCTTAGGCCAACATTAAAATTTTGAGTCAAAGATTGCACACAATCCTACACTTGAATCGTCCGTATCGAAATAAAAAAGAGAAAATCGTTAAATTCGTATTTTCGGTGTACTGCGGTACCGCTGAAAATAAAAAGGGCAACTAGACTGACTACCTTTTCGTGAAGAATATCCAAAAAGTGAACCTATTATCTTATCACTCTCAATTCATAATGTATCTAATATCATGTTTTCAATCATATTATTGATTATTGCATTGTTGAAATTATGATTAACTTAATACAGCAAATTGGGGAGTGACGGTTCCATTGTATTGAGAAGAACTTAGCAATAAAAGCGCTGTGGGTGAGCAATGCAAACAGATGTAAGGCAAGGTCAAACAGCGAAATGAAAAGAAAGCTGACATAAAAGGTTTATAATTAGTTTAATGAAATGCAAAAGTTAGGCAGATTTAAATTGTCCTATATGAGTATTGGTGGCTCTCAATATTTGCACTTAAATTAATTAATCTACCACACTGGCAAGTAAAGTGGGAAAAAAATTCCGATCTAATGATTAATTTTGGTTGGTGAAAGATGTACTGTTTTGCACTGAAGACACAATTTCAAAGTAAAACGGAATAATCTATTTTAATCTATTTTAATCGGAAGTATTAGAGAAGGCGTCAAATGTTTAGCTGGAATCCATGGTTACAAAGTTGTACTATCGTCTGTCTTGTATCACTCCATCAAGTCAACTCAAGAAACATTTGCTTTGTATTTGTTGTATTTGGTTAGTTTCGGTTAGTTTCTGTTATTCATTTGTCGAATCGAGTTGATAGAATGTTAAGAGAGAGATGAAAGTACAACTTGGCAATAATTGATTACAGTCAAACATTTAATGCTTTCTAGTCTTTGTTTTTCTCCGCGAATTGCTCTCTCAGCAAAATTAATGCTGTTTTCTCTTTCATCCTTCATCATCATGATAGAGGCACATTAACTGCATATGGAATTTAATTTTTCCAAAACAGTTTTTTTCAGATATTTTACAGATTGTCTAAAACAACATAATCAACAGCCCATATTGATGGTTTTTGTACATTGCCGGTAACATCGACTGTGGAATGTATCGGTTAGAACAGTAACCGTATTGGTACTTTCCTGTTGATATCGAATTCTAATTAGGCTTATTTTATTATAATTAATATTGGTACATCAACCGAAGGTAGAACTGTAGAAATTGATAGCGGGAAATTTCCTATGTAATGTTTTAAAAAAAATTCCAAATTGCTGCCTTGCGGTGTCGCCCTATCTGTTTTCGTTTTTGTGATAATTCGGATTAAATAACCTGAAGATGGAATTTCCCGAAATATGGAAAAATTGAGCGCTAACCACAAATGGTGTAAATTTTGTGACCAAATTCTAATTAGCTATTTTTTTCAAATAGAAATTGCATATATTGGTCGTGCTAGCAAAATTCAGTTTATGAACGGATCAAATTATGTGGAATTCTTATTTGTGTGCATTTTTGAATGATAATTTTTTTATTGCAGATCCTCGAACAAAAGACTGGCTGTTGGTAGGCAACTTAGGACAATTAGTTTTAATTTTGGGCTTCTACGTGTATTTTTGTACAAAACTCGGACCGAGACTTATGAATAACAGGAAGCCTTTTCAACTTAAAAGGACGATACGATTCTACAACTTAGCTCAAATTTGCATAAGCGCTTATTTGGTTCGAGAGGTAAGTGAGCCTTTTAAGCTTCAGTTGATTCAGAATCATTTTGATTCATTACTTAAGTAAATATTTAAATTCGTTTATAATTCGGACTATTAAAGGCTATTTAAGAAAATTGTAGATTAATAAAACCCCATTAGGTATGCAAGAGGACGACAGAGCGACCCAAGAAACACTTAATTATTGAAAGGCATCGGTTTCAATACATTTTTTTTTCGTCAAGTGCTGGATGTGCCACTCGCGTTTGGATCAATTTATAGGTTTTGCTCATCGATTCAATCGCCAACATTGAAAATGGTGTGTCAAAAGCGTCCCGGTAGGACACTCATAAAAAAATATGTCTCAGGTGGGCCACTAAGACAATTACTTTTCGAAATAGGGCAGAGTGCCCTATTCGAAAAGTAATTGTCGTAAAAGCTTGGGGTAAAACCTTTTAACTAAAGGGGCTAAGAGAAAATGCTGGAAATTATTTTTAAGTTTGTAGAATGGCCGTCAGGAGGCGCAATCCCATTCCTTAATTTTAAATCCCGCTTTTTGAGAAATTGTCTTATATTACAGACAACTGACGTCAACATCATGAAAGTTGACATTTTAAATTTAATATTTGTATTTCAACAATAAAGTTATATATATTTTCCTTAAAGAACGAATCTCAACAATGGAAAGTATCTTCAAAATATTCACAGAGATGGCAACGTTTTTACTTCTTTTACTGATATTGTAGGTTAGCATTTAATTTTTGTTTGTAGTGATGTCGCTTAACGCTCTATCGCGGTAACACAAGTAATCGAAATCAATCCGTTCGGAAAGAATTGATGGTCTTAGTTTTTACCAAAAAAAAAATATTGACATTTATTTCAGAAAATCTCCACCAATTTTTCTTAAGAGATAAAGCAAATACCATTTAACGAAAATGAATGCAATGTATTCCAGCTTTACAACAGTAACCATTTCAACTATCTGTAATATGAGATTATTGCTGAAAAAACTTGATTTAAAATTGAAAAATGCAATTACACGCTCTAGCGACCATTTCCGAAACTTAAAAATAATTTTCAGCATTGTGCAAATTATTCGACCCATTACACCAATTAGTTTCCGAGCGTCTTTCTTAATTGGCCACCTGGTACATAACATTATGGACCCTACTATTCATTTCCATCAGAACATTCCGGATGAATGGCGAATCAGTACTACGATTCTTATGTTTTAAAAAACTTCCAACGAACTATAGAGGAATAAATTTACTTAATACAACCTAAAAATTAGCAACGCAAAACATAACAAATAAAATTAATAACTTTAGCACATTGTTCGATGAACAGCAAGTATTTAGATCAGCCAGGTGATCCACCAATGCGATTTTTGTCATAAGAGAAATAAGGAATAACGAAAACTATCGAAAACATATACTCGGCTAATCAAATTCAAGCCAAATTCAACCGAGACTATAGAGAATTAATACCAGTAGACTGGTGTATTAAACAAGGTGTCTCCCTAAGTACGCTTCTTTTCAATATTGCCATAGATGAGTTAAGAAGGGAAGTACGCAGATGGCAAGTATACAGAATGAACGATCGCGAGATTAAAATGTGTTATGCAGATGAGGCGCAGTACTAGACTATTACCATCAATTAACTTCACATGATTATATCTGCTTCCAAGACGAAATGTATAACCACTTCAGCGTTACGGAACCGATGTAAACTTGTCGACGAAAAAATTATTCAACAGTACATGAAATTTAAATATCAGAAATCTCCGGTTATAGTGACGTTGAAGCAGAGGTATGCGATCATACTATCAAAGCAGCTAGGGAACAGCATACCTAAATCGTACTATTTGCAAAACAAACATATCAGAGTAGAAACGAATTCCAGAATCTATAAAACAATGACTAGACCAATTATGACATATGTAGCACAAACACGACGTGATACAACTAAAAATAAGCGGATGGTAGAGACAACAGAAATGTGCAATGTGAATAACACGTGACAAATCACCGATAGGTAAAAGTGTAGAGCATCCTCGAAAAGATGGAGCGACAACTTAAGAGCTGAATAGATATAGGGGACGAAGAAAAACAGGCAAATTGAAGAGAGAAAAAAAAGACGATAATATTCTTCGACATCTGAAGAACACTACTAGCCGAGATCCCTCTTGTGTAAGGGCATACTTTTCGCTTGGTTTCTGGTGCTACTGAATGGTTGTCTCAAACAGTAGCTTAAACTTGTGAATGTTGTGTTGTGTCTTAATACAAACCATTTCACTTGCGTCCATATTTTGGGCAGTAGATAGGTCTTCCATGAAAACCTCTCTTGCTATATATTTATTAGTATATAACCTCCATTCTTCTAACGAAAGCATAATACTTTCTTCTGCTCTCCTCGGTACTGCTTCTTTACTACTCAAGTATTTTCGTCGCTAACAAACAATTTTTTTAGGTTTTTACTGATCTGCCTCGGGTTTTCTTGGAAGGTTCCACTTGACCTACTCTTTTCCTCTCCCTCAATCATTTAAAAACGGCGAATTTTCCAACTCCAGACATTCGGGAAAAATAGTCGACAGTAAAGTAAAGTCTTCTATCAACTCTTAATCAAAAAAGGCGTTCGTTGTTTGGAGGCCTGCTCTTGTCAATACAACAGTTTCGGGAACATCCGAGTCGTATTTTTCCAAATTTTTTAAAGAAACTTCCTCAGGCTACTGTAATACTATTTACAAATGTTCTGAATTCATCGTACGTATATTATTGCTGACTCAAACGGATGTTTCGATCTGTTGGAAAGAATAATGAAGAGACGTACGAAAAATATCAACTAGGCTAAATAAACATGAAAGAGCCGTAAGACGACGACAACTCATCAGCAGTTGCCTAACACAATCATGACATCGGACATTATTCTTCCAAAGAAAAATCCGAGAATCTTTAGAAATCTCCAACCAACAACCAAACCATCTTACCCCCGACTCAGATCTTTCGCCCACATGGGAATCATCATCAGAGACAATGTTCATGTCCCTTGTTTTGCTCCGCCTCCATCAAACAGTATTAGCAGGTGCGGAGTAGAATGCAAACCAGTTTTAATTAAGCTTTGAAGAAGTCAACAGGATGATGGACCAAATGTCAGCAAATTCTATTAATCAATAACCGGCAGGACGAATCCAGAAGATTTGTAAATGGTCGTTTGCCCGTTGGATCTCCTCCCATACCAGTTTTACGAGCCTTTCGTTGTCCTGTCCATTCTAATCAATTGGATTAGAATTGGATTAAAGCATTCGAAGCGTCTAAGTTTATTTATTTGATTTGTTATCTTCCACCTTTCGTTTCCATGTATTCTTATGGTTGTGCCTATGGTCTTATATACTTTGGATTTTGAAGTCCTTGGAGTTTTCGACATCATAAGTGAAATCAGACAGCCAGTTGCAGACTGGATTTTAGTTTTGATTTCTTCAGTGACGCTGTTTTCTGCTGTAATTGTAATTGCCATAAGAGATGAAAAATGAAAACGAAATCTATTTATTTGTAACGGACTTAAAAAGTCTAAAATAATACACTTTTCGCAATAGGCTTATAATGACCACAAAGGTTTTGCAGGATGGCCAGTAATAATTATAAATTTTCTGAATATTAATGAAGCACTCATTAATTCAAAGTAGTTTGCTTACCATACCATTGTTTGCCATTCCATTTACCATTTAGCCTCATATGAAAAAAAAATCTACACGTGGAATATGTATATGTAGGATTTGATTTATGTTACAGGGCCTCAAATGCGGTTGGGGTACGACCTACAGCTTTGCCTGTGAACCTGTAGATTATACAGACGCACCACATGCAGTTAGGGTCAGTAATTTATTATATTCTCACCCGTTAACATAATTATTATATTAAAATATGTTGACGTTTTTCAAATGGTATAAATGTACGATAAGCTGTTTCTTAAGGTTGTACTAGACAAAAGTCCATTCCTCGACATCCAATGAGGTATGTTTTCGAGATAATGCGATATAGTGTGTTATACGGGTTACTTGAAAAGCAAATGCAATTATTTTTTAATATTTTCTATAACTTTTTTCTTCTCTTGAGATTTGATCAAAATGCTTTAGGCGATAAATATATATTTCTGATTAATTACGAGACTAAAGGAAATACGAGGTGTCCGACATTTTAAGGGTGATTTCTCAAGTGTTTTTAAGGTAAAAAGTTTGTAAAATAACGTTTTTTAATCAATACAAACTGATTTTTTACAACATTAAACAGATGGACATTAAATAAAAATGGGATGAAAAACGAAAAATAAAATCGCAATTAATATTACACAAAAAAAATTAAACTTTGGCGGTCTGTAGTTCCAAAATGAAACATTTTCTAAAGTATATTATGCGACAGAGTAAAATTGCAATGACACGAATCATTAATCAGGGTGAACAACTTAAATATTATGTCGTAAAGTTCAGATAAATTGTAATGACAGTTTTCGATGAATTCCGTTTATCAGTTTTTAATACTTACACAACTCCTACCTATACCTATACACAATTGAAGGACAAGATTACAGAGACCAGTAGATAATTGAGATATTAATTATTCTAATATGAAGTAAATAAAAACTTATCTAGAAGTAAGTAAATATTATTAAGTAAAAAATAATAGTCTAGGGAAATAATAGTAGAATAATTAGGTTCCCACATTTTGTCTTCTATTTCACTCAAAAACACTTTTACTTAAAGGTTTACTGAAACTGACATTCTCCATTATCTCTTTTTTTCAGCATATCTTTCTAAAATTGCTTCTTATTTAAAGTAAGCCAAGAAATGATTTCCTAAATAGGTGTGGATATTTTTTGGATTTTATTATTTTCTTTAGTAGTAGCCATGACTAAAATAGACTCAGGAGGGATAAATTTGCTGGAAATAGTATTCAAAAATATCAGCTTTCCATGTCTTCATTTGCTCCAGTTTTTTTCTAACATTAATTAGCACTATAATATACTAAAATTTCATTTAAATCTGATTTTTTAGTCATATTGCAACTTTTTATTTCGTGTCTCAATTCGACCTAAAGGAACAGCGGTACTTATTTACACTTTGAACGGCAGTATGTTAGATTTTATAGTGCAACAATTCAATCGATCGCTACGATTTTAGATGAGGAGGGCGGTGTGGATATACTACATGAACAAATTGGTCGAACTGTTGGATACGGTGTTCTTCATATTGAGGAAAAAGTACAACCAAGTGACCTATCTGCATTTGTATCATCACACGCTCATGCCGGTAGCCGCTTATGTGGGAGTTACTTTCTTACCTGGTAAGATCAATGCATCATACCGAATAATTTTTGTGAAGAGTACTTGCTGACTCAATTTGGATATATATATTTTTTTTAGTTGTGGCTTCAGAGAAAGAGAAATGATGCTATGAAATATACTTTTATTTAAATTTAATTTTTGGCACGTCTTGTAAGATTTGGTATACAAATTCAACTTGTGGTTTTTTTATGAAACACCCTGTATGTATTTTTTTAATTGTATTAGGCTTGTTATGAGATACGAAGGATGTCTAAAAATGCAAAACTTCCAAAATTACACTGTATTTACAAATCCAAGACAGCTATGATTTTCATGTTTATATCACCTTTCATTTTATGGACAAGTAGCTTTGGTTCACGAAAGCCGATAATAAAGATATGCCGCAAAACCATTTAAAATCGGACATACTGTACTGGGTGGCCAATTAAGGACACTCCGTCCTACCTCGAAAACTTTCATAAACTAACATTCTAGTGACATTTCGATTTATTTTTCCTCACATATAACATCAATAAAAGCAATACAAATTCGAAATATTGTCGTATCGTTGGGAAAATTGTATTATGCCTGCCATTATTAAATCCTAATTTTCGTTGTTTTAGCAAAATATATATAAATTAACTGTTAAAATTCAAAAATTATATTTAAAATGTCAATAATAACATAGGTCTACAGCGATTTTGATGTTTGAAAGATGTTTGCTTATTTGTATATTTTTGAGCACCCTTCTTCCAAAAAACGCCATATTTTTTCTCTCGAAAGTCTTTTTTTTTATAGCGCTCTATATCTTAAAAATGTTACTTTATTAATATACATACCTACATACCACACATGAATATGTTTGTTCCATGTTAGGTATTAGTACATTCGATATATTTAAAAGAAACGTATGAAAATTTAGGAGTTCTTTTCAAGAAAATAAACTACCAAGAACAGTGGATGCTTTGTGGTGAAGTTAAAGTATTATAATAAGGGGTTAACAAAATTTCCATACCTTATTTGTGAGTGGGATAATCCGGCAAGAGATACATATTGGACTCAAATAGAATGGCCCTCTTGAACAAGTCTGGTAGTAATAATGTATTAGTTGACCCGAAAACAGTTTTACTGCCTCCCCTTTATATCAAACTTGATTTGATGAAGCAGTTTGTTAAAGCCCTAGACAAAAAACAGCAGTGTTTCAATTATTTGTGCGAGAAATTTCCAACCAAATCTGATGCCAAAACGAAAACCACGAAAGTATTGTTCAAAATATGTTACAACACTTTTATCGTCTAGGTTGTAATATGAGTTTGAAAGTGCATTTTCTGTTTTCACACTTGAACTATTTCCCTGAAAATCTTGGAGCAGTTAGCGAACAATACGGTGAGAGGTTTCACCAGTACATTAAGGAAATAGAACGGCGAAACTAAGGCAGATGCAGCCTAACGATGGTAGCGGGCTACTGCTGGATGTTAAAACGGGATATGCCCTTAAAAACACACAGTCGAGCGTCCGGACAATGCAGCTTTCTGAGAAAAAGGCGAAAATTTCACTCAAAAAAGTCTGAATAATTTGTTTTTACTTATTTTTAAATTAGGGTTCCACTTTCTTACTGGATAAAAAAAATATCTTAGAAATATCTTTTGTTTTCATTAATATTTGAAAAAAACCTAACGTGATACAAATAAATTTTTAAAATCAGCCCACCAACATTATATAAAATCAGTTTTCAAAATAAAAATATTTGTCAAAAAATTTAATTTTGTAGACCTGTGTAATTAATACTCATTGCATGATATCTCCCATTTGTCCACACAAAATTTGAAATTTTTAAAATCCACATATGCTTTTGAAAACAAAATATTAAAGGTATAAATAAAGGTAGAATAGTGTATTTTGTTAAAAAATTCCTTAATCCTAATAATTAATATCAATGCTTTATCTGTGTTGTTGTTTTTCATTATTGTAGTATATATTGCAATATTTCAGGATTTTACGTCTTTTTAACAATAAATTTACATATAGTGCTAGAAGACTAGTAATTAAGTAAATAATTCCCAAAGACTGCGACTTTATTGTGTTTTTAATTTTTGTTCTGATATTCTTAGGAAGGGTTAGAAAAGATATATCGAAATATGGTTTCCATTAGCATTTCAAACACTTATATGGCACTTATGTTGCCATAAAAGTGATATCGTTGAATTTTTGATTGAGAAAACTAAATCAATTTTTATATTTATTTTCCATATTATTTACACAGAAGGCTCAAATTTTGATTACAGTTTACTAACATCGCATATAATAATAACAATATTAAATAGCTTTTATTAAAAAAAAAAAACAATATATCTAGTAACAGCATTTTACAACAAGCGCAACTAACTAGAAAGCTTAATAGTTGCGCATTCTAACTTTTAATAGCTACTCTACTGAACTACTATTTATTCAAATATACATACAAATTTATGATAATTTATTACTGAAACTCTGGAAAATACCGTTAGTTTGTTATTAGTTGTTAAGTTGTTAGCAACTAAAATTATGACGAATAAAATCAATACGCATATTACATTGGCAGAAGAACAACAAGGATTCAGATCTGGAAGATTTTACACAGACACTGTATTCATCCTAAGGCAAATAGCTAAAAAAGCCATCGAATATAACAGACCAGCCTACATAGGTTTCATCGATCTAAAAAAACCTTCGATCGAATACATAGATCACATTACCCATCTTCTTTACTACAGACAAATACCATAGGATGTTGTCAAGACAATTGAAAATATTTAATCCGAAAACAAAGTGGCGAACTCATCGAACAAATATCAGTAAACACCTGAATAAGACAAACAGATTCTTTAAGTTCACTTTTATTTAATATTATAATGGATAAAATAATTAAACATGTTTTAAAACATAAAGGGTACAAAATGGGAAATATAGAGATAAAAATAATATGTTACGCCGACGATGCCGTCCTAGTGGCAGAAAATGAAGACGACAGCAGAACAATTAAACATGAGATTCACAACCGAGAAAACAAACATCTAAAATTCCAATAAGTTAAGAAGTCAAACAACTAAAGCAACAAAATATCTTAGACCAAAAGAATGCTGGAGTCCACAGAAATGAAAGTAATTTGCCGAATAGCAGGCAAAACACTAATAGATGGGGAAAGGACTGAGGATATAAGACGAACATGTAAAATTGAAAACATCAGCGATTGGGTGCTCAACAGAAAAATAGAAGGGAACGAACACATTGACCGAATATCCGCAGAAAGAATCGCAAAGTAAGGAGGGACCAATCACCATCGGGACGAAGACGCAACGGCAGACCTCGAAAACATAATTAGAACCAGGCAGGGGACGATGAATGAAACAGTGACTCACATAATTGTTCCCATAGGTTAAAATCTAGATTTATTTCGATAAATGGATTCCACAGTAAAACTAGTTATAACTTTACTTTCAAAGAGGATAATCTGTATAGTATTTAACATTTGCTTAAGATGATAGATTTTAAAATAATCGGCATAATTCTTACAACTGACATTAGCTTGACATATTTTGATCTTGACGATAGTTCTGGCATATGCAGTGTTACTACCAGTTCACGCCATATGGAAACAATTTTTTAATTTTGATCTTCGGGATTTAGGAAATTCTCGAAAACCTTTAGTTGTCAAACTTGACAACTTTTATAAAAGATATGAATAATTTATTTTATTTATGAAAATATCTCATAATTTTATTAGAAAAATTGTTTTATTTTCAGGTTTCTACATTTCGATTTTCAATAAAATGTTTCCCCACTCCATTAAAAAAAAATGTTCAAATGCATGTTTTTGGTTAGTTTTAACGTTATGAACTTTAGTTAATTTATTATAATTGCAATAGTTGCCGTTCCTTGTTAATTTGGATCAGATTTCAGTGAAAATCGGATTTTTCAATAAAAATCGGCAATGCAATAAACATAGCAATTAATAAAAAATGTTTCCATATAATTCAGACTTTAGTGGTGATACTGTATATATATACATTTATTCTTTTATTTTGTTAATTAGATCTCAAATCCTTATACGGAATTTAATTATAAAAATAATACAATTGCGTATAATGTTTTCCGATTGCAGCTTACGCTTTCTCTGGGATAAGTTTGTCGTCAAAAGTGCATTTAAATTTAAAATGTTATTTTGACTTTTGCAAATATTTAAAAAATTCCAATGCGGACGTAAAACCGTCTGTGATACGTCAGTGAATAAATACAAAGAAATGTATGCGACACATTTTCGAGTCCGTGTGGATATTGAAAAGTTTCCCTCACGCGTTTGTTTAATATGCGCATGAAAAATATACCGTGCTGACGTAAATACACCCCTCCCTTTCTAAGTTTTGAACGATGAGGGATTTCGAGTTCCAGTGCAAATTATTTTTACTAGGGTCTTTTTTGCGGATGTTAGAAGTAGCAGTTATGTCATATTAACCTAACGTCAAAAATTTGACATAACCCCAACATATTTCGGCGGCAAGGGGGGTTGGAATACTCCGAAAGGTATTTTGATTCTCTATACAACACTCTTTAAAATTTTAAAATTGCATATGGTAATTTTTAAGTTTGTTAAAACTTATCATGCTAAAAAAAAAATGCTTAAAGTCGTTTCTTTTAAAATCTAAAGTAAGTTTAAAACTTGAAATAGGGAAACGTGTGAAAGATTTTCCAAAAGTTTCTTTGTTTATTTTAAATTTAAACATAAACAATTAAATTAAATTATTGCTCACCAGCAACATAACTATCTTCTGTAACAGTTTAACAGTAACTGCTTTTTTCAATATTTGTTAATATCTCCTCTTATGTTATTCAAAACTTCAGATCGTCACGTTCAGGATCATAAAATTTGACTTTTAGACAGCCCCATAAAAAAATCTAAAGGCGGAAGGCCTGGTGAACGGGTTGGCTACTCAACTGAAAGACTATTTCAATGCCACTAAATTCTTGAGATACAAGGACAAAGAACCATTTAAGTTCACGGAGGTATGAGAATGTGATTGCCCAAAATACCCACCCATATGTTCAATTTCTTGTGGTTTCTAACAGTGAATTTTTTGAAATACTTGAAGAGTAATAGGATGATGTGGGGGCTCCAGAGAACTTTTACAAAAAAATATCTGTTCCTCCAGCAACCCTGCTCTTGTAAAAAACTATTTTCGCTAAAAATAACCATTTAAGCTTTCCCGTGTGGACCATTTGGGAATTAAGAACCAAACAAGTTCAAGTTATTAATGAAGTCTCAAAATTAGGTATCAATGTCGTAGAACTCCCGGTTAAGGAAGTAAAGTGTATATTCATTTATATGGTGGAGTTAACAAAGAAATTAGAGAAAACACTAAAAAATTGCACACAAAACTGGAAAATAATAAATGAAAGAATTCTAAAGATGTACTAATTCCTTGGTTTGACAGGAAAACACCCAATAATAAATACGACTCAGAACTACAGAAGCCGAAAGTGGAAGAAGAAAATGTGTAACTCTGGAAAATCATGTCTTTATTATATATATATTATTATGTTATATTTATTTGGTTATAATAGAATCACATCACATCACCTAAATATATAAAATTTTAAATTTAAAAATAATTTTATTTAAATGTTTATGTTTAAATTGAAATAAACGAAATTATAGTTTTTGTGAAAAAAATGCCATACACAAATTTTTAAATTTATTTTTAGTTTTTGACATAAAGTAACACGTTTAAAGGATCAATTTATTATAACTAATTTGTATACTAGCCGCTTTTAAATATATTTTGATTTCTTAAATTTAGGTGGCCATGGGTCGCTGCTGGGTCTCATCAACTCCTTCATCCACGTGATCATGTATACGTATTACTTCCTTTCCTCGTTTGGACCGGAGGTGCGGAAATATCTGTGGTGGAAAAGACACGTCACGAAACTTCAGCTGGTGAGTTCTACTTTTTTCCACGTACGCAACTTTACGTACGGAAAATAGATTAATAATTAATTTTTTAAAAGGTGACGGTAATTTTTTAATTTCCTTTTTATATTGTAATGGCTTTTGTTACTTTTGGAAAAAATTTTAGGTCGATTTTTCAACACTTTAATTTATTTTTTTTTGTCTTGTCTTCTACGCTACAATTCTACTAAAAGAGAGGTGATTTTTTTACAATCTGTTAAATGTAATATTGACAAAGAGATGTACGCCACTGACTTAAAAAAAGTTGTTATTTACTTTCAATAAGACACTAAATGTACAATCTCTTTGACTCTCGAGTTATTTGCGTATCTTGCCTCGTTTTCACAAGAAAAAATAAAAATCTTGAAATTAAAAACACGTATAATATGTGAACATTTATTTTTTGTAGCTTTTGGTCCCAAAATTATATAAAAAAACTATAAAAATTGATGAAAAAACCACGCTCTTGATCCTGTGAATAGCTAGTTTCATGTCATTCCACACTAGTCGCTTAAATTTTTGAGCCACGAGACTTCTTTGCCTTCCTTGATTCCTTCCACCCATGATCTTTCTTTAGCATCGCATATTTAGGTCCTGTGATTACGTGGCCAAAGTGTTCTAATTTTTTTCTTTAAGTGTTAAATATTTCTTTCTGTTTCTGAGTTCTTCGTAGCAGTTTTGTAAAATTTATGCACTTCACTTATTAGTGTGTCTGACCATTCGTCTATAACACTATCTTTCGAAAGTTCCGATCCTGTCCATATCTGCCTTTTTAAGTGTCCTGAGTATGCTTCTGACTCGTAAGGTAATGTTGCAAAAACGTAACATCGAAGCAGTCTTATCCTCAATGCAAAGAAATTTTTTGATTTTTATAAATGATTTTCTATGCGAGCTTTTACTTCATGACACTGCTCCAATATTTTATGGAGCCATGATCCTAACTACTGTGTTTTCTTAATCTTTCTTATGTTATGTTGTCCTTAGCAAGATTTTTTTTTATGACAAATGTGAATCAATTGGTTAAGGCTTTCGCGGCCCTTTGATAAGCTATTATCTTGATTCGGGTTTAAAGGCCGTCGTCGGTTGGAATTACTTCGTCAGTCTACGTCCAACATCGGAGATGGAAGGACCTCTGAAGAAGCTCGCCACTCGTGCTAGCGAAACGTTAGGAAGTAATTCCAACCGACGACGGCCTTTAAACCCGAATCAAGATAATAGCTTAAATGTAAATCAGTTTCTTTCGATATGATGAGCACAAAATTCAAGGGCTGATTCTACTAGACCAATTAATACTAAAAGCATTTGTTCGAAAACTCAAGAACAACTGAATTTCTTGTCTACAGCCAATTTTAAAAGTTTGCAATTAAAGGGTTATAAAAAGCCTTTGAAAGTTTCAATTATCAAGACACGTTTTAGTTTTAAATTTTGCTGAATAGCTAGTAGTTGACAAAGTTAGAAGAAGAAGAAGATTTGTGTGTTTTTAGTATTAAAGATACACAAAAATTATTCGGGAATGGTTCATTACGTGGCAAGATAAAAGGGTCTAAGAAGGAAGTATGTTTTAATGGCCTTTATTGTAAGCTTTTAAAATATGTGAAAACTTTAATGACAAAAGTTTGTATACATTTTCTTTAAGGTCGTGAGCAACTAAGGCCATTTGGCATTAAGAATTTTACATCAAACAAGGAAAATCCGTTGCAAAATATTTGAGATCCCGTAATTTTGTTATTTTTGAGTTTTGACCCCTTAAGAGCTTCAATTCTTTTTTCATCAAAACAATGTTACAATTGTAAATGAGTTTAAACTTTTTCATTTAGTAGACATTTTCGTCTTCCAATAAGGCTTGGTTTAAAGAAATTGTTTTCTTGTGTTTTTTTTTGTTTGTATCTAGTCTCAGATTTCATATAGATCAACGTTTTCAAGACCCAAAAAAGAATTATGAGGTGTAACATAAAAAAAAACTAAAAATTTGCACAAATAAAAGAGGACACCCATTCAAACATACCTGTGCAAGTATTTGCACCTGACGACTTTTTACTAGCAAGTCATCGACTTTTAGCACTGCGAATGAGTTCAACCGAATTCGGTATTTAGTAGAGGATCAATGCGTATCGCCTTATGCTGATTATTAATTTTTTCGATACTTTTCAATTCCTTGAATAAGGTGTTAAATATATATGAATAATCTTGAGGTCACCGACCCGCCTGATTTGAATGGAAATTATCCCTGTTAAATGTGCATCTGTTTTGAAAGTTCCATATTTCAATAATGTATTTGCTTATGAACGCTATGTAAATTTGCCATCCAGTTCTGGAAAATTGATTAAATTCTTTCATATTATCGAGTGCGGAACTTGGATCAATTTTCAAATGATAAAAAAATACCCTATGCATAAATTAAATAATAGAAAATCATAATGTTCTTTGTCATCTCAGAATCTGTAACGTTCTCTTGACTTTGCAATTAATCTGTGCCTTTCTTTCATTTATCAACACGGTTTTGCTGTGTCTCAAACGATAGTTTCATATATTTATGGGCCTACTAGGTCTTGTCTATACTGATAATTCAGGAACTCATAAAACATTATGTGCTTGCACGACAGATCGTTAATAAGTTCTGATGCGGCATTTTTTCAGCAGTATTTTCTCAAAAAATACCTAAATCTCGTCAAATGTTCTGAAAAAATTTCTTAAATGTGTTGAAATCGCTGTTTGGAAAGAAAATGATGTAAAATGCATTTTAGCGGTTGAAATGTAGAGGCATGTACGCAAGATCATCTACGAAAATATCATTGCCGCCTGCGACGCATCAATTTTTTTCGTGTTAGGACCACTAATAGCTAAATGATTATTACTGGATAAACCCAACAAATAATGTCAACCACGTGTTGGCTGATATCAGTCGGAGTGTTGAATCACTTTTGCATTTCAAAAATGTAATGAAAAATATTTAATCTCTAATCATTAAAAGAAAAAAAAATTGTAAAAAATGTGTATGAATGTTTAATTAAGTGGAGGATTCATTAAACCAGAAACTTACCTACACAGAGAAAAAGAATTAGTTCTATTCTATTTGCCAGAATAATCTCACACTATTACCTATTACAAGAAATACGTTTGTCTTATTAAAATTCTACTTTACTTATTGCAAGAAAAGGGGTATACTAAGTACAATTATTATTTATTTGCGAGAAATTTTCGTTGAAGTAACAAAAGTGAAATATTTATTTGAAGCAATGTAAAATAATTTACATTATAAGGAAGGAGCAACTTGCCAACAATAATATTTAACTACTTTAATAACGTTTTGGCAAAATCAAATTTCCTATGTTCACCTCGGTTTCTTTGCGTAGCTACAATAATTTTACAATTTCGGCAAAATAAAGGCAACTTGTGTTTTGCTTATTAAAAGAAATATTCTTTATAAAAAGTTGTGGTGCACGATGGTCTAAAACCTACAATATACAGTAATATTAATGTGCAAGAGCAAGAGGGTGTAACCTCAGCGACAATGGTAAAGGGTTATAATGTTATGACATATCTTCTTACTTTTTCTATATTTGCACTTATAGCTTCTTCTATCTGAGTAGATGTCCAAAATAACCCATACTTTTTGTTTTCTTTAATAGAAACAATGTACCTACCTTTACTTGAAGATCAATAGGTTCCCTAGACTTAGCAATATTAGCTTTCCGCTTTTTAAGTTCGAGGGATCTGTTACATATTAAATAATTTAATTTCTTGAAACACCGGAACAAGATCCCCATTTAGATAAGACAATTAAAGTAAAATATAGTCGATTTTGTCTCAACAAAAGCTTATTTACTGTGAACGTAATTTTCGTGGTTGTTCAAATATAAAAAAACAAAAATCCTGGAGGTTTGGGAAACGTATAGAGCAATAAAAAAAATTATTTACCTAAGCAGTGTGCGAAAAGAGGCTTACATTGACTTGGTATCCAAAACATAGCAGCTCACGGGGATGATGACTGGCGCTTAATGACATGTATAATAAACAGAAAGCTATGATTTCTATTCTTAGTGGCGTGAAGAAACCTGAAGCAAGTAACAATTTTTTTTATAAAATCGATTATTAATGCGATGACTACAAAGCTTTTGAAACGAGCAAAGGAAAAATAAAAAAAAATCTTTCCCATTTCAATCGGCTACCGATATTGAAATTGCACATTCTCTATTCCACAAAATCAAATTCAATGTATATCTGTCAAAGGGCGTCAAACTGAAAGAACCAACAGATTTGAACCCAACAAGTTGTTGCGTTTCCTCTTGCGGTTTTTGAAAAAATAATGTATAGTCAAATAGTTGCCTATCCTAACGATAACAATTTATTTCTCGTATTCCAGTCTAGCTTTCAATGTGGTTTTGCGAAAAGTACTGGATGATAAAATCAAAGCCGGCAACAGGGCAATACTTCAACACTAGTTTCATTTGATTACAATAAAGCCTTTAATACACTTGATTATGCCCTATTATATGCAAAACTACTGTCACCTGGATTTGCAGCAGGTGCAATCGGGCTTGTTGAAGACTATCTGACAGGGAGGTTCCAGTTTGAGGATGTGGGCTTTGATCGCTCATCTTCGAAACGGGTTGTGAAGCGTATTCCACAAGGTTCAATACTCGGACCAAAATGTATTTTAAATTTTCACAACATAATCGCCTTGCATCTATCAACAATATTATAGCACAGAACAACACGATTTAAGCGTAGGTTAGTTTATTAGTTAGTTTGTTTAGTTAGTTTGCTGATCTTTGCCGAGTTGAAAATAAAAATGTTTCTAAGCCTATCCAAGCCCGAGTGTAATAAATTTAATTAAGAATTTATTAATAATATACCTGTTGAGAGCTGGAAAAATGTAGTGGTGCACATTTTAAAAAATGCATTCGCATACAAAATAACCTAGCGACTCTGAGAGCCAAACAGAACTCTGAATAAAAACGTGCTAATTTAGGTAATTATTGATAATTTGTAAACATTTAGTGTTACTACTTACTATTAGTACTAATGTGTTTTATACCTAAATAAACATATTCTAATACTTAACTTGCTGACGTTTCGCTAATCATTCTGTTGGCTTCTTCAGAGCTTAACAAGTTCGATTCATGAACAACCGGCGAAGGAGGAAGAAGATTTGTAATAGTAGATTATGCAACAAGTATGGTAGACATTTGAGTTTATAAATAATAATAATAAACGAGTGACTTAAGAAGTTTACCAAATGTGTTGCATACTATCCTTTTTTACGACTTTTAGTTTTTGAGTACATTTTTCGAACATGAACATGAATATCAGAATTGTGAAACGTCAAAATTCAAGCCGTAGGGTAATATCTCCGAAAACATCCGATTGCTCCCAAACCCCTGCGGTGATATCCCGGAAATGTCCGAAGTGGCTGGGATCAGTGGGAAACCAAACTGAAGTGGTAAAATGACACTTTTACGCACGCTAGATCGGTGTATAATTAAGTATTTTACAGAAGGGAATAGAAAATAGTATACTATGCAACAAGTGCGGCAAACGGCATTTGACTCACGAGTTCATTTGACACGAGCGGAGCGAGTGTTTAATAAACGAGTGAGTTAAAAAGTTTATCGAACGTGTTGCATACTATACTTTTTCTACGACCGTTAGTTTTTGGGTACATTTTCGCAAAACAACACAAATACATTCACTGACATGACCGTCAGAAATGACAAACATCAAAATTCAAAGCGTAGGAAATCTCCGATTGCTCTCAAATCCGTGCGGTAAAATCCCGCAAATATCCGAAGTGGTTCAGGTTCGTGGTAACGAAACTGACGTGGTAAAGTGACGCTTCCCGCACGCTAAATCGGCGAGTAATTAGGTATTTTACAGAGAGGAGTAGAAAAATAGTATTACACAAGTCTGTGAAAATTTCTTTTCAAAATATTTAATCTTTATTCCGTAAAAGTCAGTCTCCGATGCTCTGTCATGCAATACCCTCTGGTCAAGTGGTTTATTACCGTCGGCAGGATAGTTTGATAATTGTAGATAAATGCCAAAACGTTATTCTTTGCGACATACGCTACAAATGTCTATTTATCAAAGTAAACTAAGATCGATCGCATTTTTCAGGTACAATTTGCAATAGTCTTCGTTCACAACTTCCAAGTTCTGTTCAGAAAATGCGACTATCCGAAAGTGTTCAACGTGCTGCTCTCGATTCAGGCCGGGTACTTCCTGTACCTATTCGGTGCGTTCTACGTCACCGCATACATCAAGAACAAACCTCAAAAGACCGTAGTGGAGGCAGACGTTGTCACACCAAACGGGAAAATGGACAACGGAGCCGTAAGGAATGGCCACACCGACTCAAAAACGTCAAACGGCGTCGCCAACGGCAAACACCATAACACGAAGTCCAAAATGTATTAATAGTTTTAGGTTAGTCAGGATTAATGTAAAAAATATTTATGCGGGGTGTCCGGAAATGATGGTCAAAAAATTTAATTGCTGATTTTATTCGATCGAGTTTCTATAGCATTTTTTCGAGAACTCAAACAAAAATGGTGATGAATTAAAATCAATAAGTAAGTTTTAAAACCTTACTGTTATAAAACCTATTTAAATATATGATGCAGGGTGAGATTTTTTATGTTTACTGCAGGGATCTCCCACACTGTAGCAGATAGGAAAAAGTTTAAACGGGCAAAAAAGTGAAATTTTTTAAACTCCACTCAAAATTATTATTATTTTCACAAGATTTGACAGTCAATACATATTTCAAATAAATACAAGAGTTGTAGAAAATTTTATTTTTAATAAAATTATACAAAAATATTTTTCCTCGCGCTTGTCAAGTTTGATAGACAAATGAAACTTTAGGTCTTTTTTAATACATATCTTTATTAAATAGAGATTTTTGTCACGATTTGAAGGACATAGCACATGATAGGGTTATTTTGAAAAATAAAGTTTTTATGAGCGTTGAAGATTTATTTTCCTGATTCGTATTTAAGCTTAATGTTGTTCATCTAGTATGGTGGCAAAAGAAAGAATAGCTGTCGGTTATCTTTGCCAACCGGCTGCATGATAATAAGTGGGTTCAGAATATGCTCCTGGACGATTAAGATTTTCGATTTATAATAAACAACATTTATGGTTATATACCACAAATCAAGTTTTTGTTTGGTGTGGTGTTGTGCGATTCTCCCGATCTTAAGATTTTAATCTTTTTTTTTGTGGTTAGTAGAAGACAAGGTTTACAAAGAAACAAGAAAAAAAATCAGGCTGCTGTAAATGAGGTTTTTAATAATATTGATGGGCGATCTTTAAAAAAGACAACTAATTCAGTCACAATAACGTAAGAATTTTTAAAAATCTTTTCTAAAAACTAAATAAATTATCAATTTTTTTTAAATAAGTTTAATAGGGTTTCCAATAAAAAAAACAAATGTTTTTTCATATGTCAAAAATGATATGTGTGAGAAAAACTATTTGTCAATTAAGAATAAAATTTCCTAAAACCTTTGTATTCATCATATTATAATTAATATTTACACACATTAAATTGCCTAAAATCGTTTTTTTTTTAAATATCTAATGTCAGCTGGCAATAAATTAAAAATGTATCCTATCTGATATAGTTTCCGAGTAAACATTAAAAAACTCACCCTGTAGATTGTACAGTGTCTATAAACACAAAACAAAAAACGCAGAACAAGATTTCTTGTGAGTTGATCCTTGAAGGTGGGATTCCTTGAATAAAGTTCAGCAAAAACATACGAATGTAAGTCCGCAATCGCTTTGTTTGTAATATACCTTTTTTTTGGATAAAAAGATTCAGCGTCATCCTTACACCGACGAAACTGGTAAAATAGAAAATTAATTTTCAACATAATATTTAAAGCAGTTTCAATGAAACTCGGGAACACCAGTTTGGAAGCTTTAACAACAGTTTAAAAAGTTTAAAATAAAAAAAAATCGATCCGGGACCCAAACTCAGTACCGGAATGCTATCACTCGCTTGAACATACTTTAACCTCAAAAATATAGCGGCTTTCTGTATGAAAAAGCTTGTTACTAGGTTATATTCAATAAGTAGTTGTTCGTTCAAGGTTTTTTCAAATTTTAAATGCTGAAGATGTTCAAAAGTCTTTAAAAGATACCCCCTTTTTATATCAAAATAAAAATTGCGATTTTCTTCGAAACGGTGAGTTTTATTGAGATATAATGAGTTATTAGTTATTATGTTTTAAAGATTTTTTAATTGTGAGTTTTAAGATTTGTAAAAAACTAAAGAAAAATGTTTGAGTATATTTTCAAAATTTACGAACAGTTTTACCCTTTAGTATTAGCAAGGGGCGAAAAGTAATACGTAATAAATACGCATGCAAGGAATTTAAATGATCTGTTTTAGGACAATAAGTTAAACATCTCATTTTTGACCAACGTTTTTTTTATCACGTTTAAACTTCATTACAGCATATAAACAAGAAAACCAAAATGTGGTTGAAAATAGAAAAGGAAAAATAAAAATAACAGCCAACGACGAGGAACCAATCGCATAAAGTGGATGGATACTATATGTTTTTTGTAAACTCAATAATATCAATTGCCAGCATGGTTTCTTCCAATACAACGCAATACAAAAGAATAAAATTAGCAATCATGATTAAAGTCAGAAAAGAGGAAGAAACCCACTGAGTGTTTCAAAATATGTATCTTAAAAAATAAATAAATAAATAACTTAAAAATTGTTAAACTTATACACCTGTTATTTTCGAGATTTCGAACCAATGTTATATGAATCAGTCCTTAGATTTTTTGCTCACCATTTTCGGACACCTTGTAGGATAATAGAATGATGTCAAAGAAAGTGAATCGGATTGTACCAAAAAAATGCTTTAGCGTTAAGCATGGGATGTTCATTTCCGGTAGTTCAAATAGTTTTAGGAACAATCGAGGAGCCAGTATTGTACCGAGTTCAATTCGAACCGAACCTTCAGTTTCCTAATTTGCGTCTGAGAGAAATTATTTGCTCAAATTTTCATGTTTATCGCTTTGATGTCGATTGATTTTTAAAAGTTGTTAATTTTATTGTGAAGTTTGTTTGCTATCGGTTTCGGCTCGTTTTGGAATTAAAATTAAAAATAGCTAACTAAGTTTTAAAAAAATATCTTGTTTTTTTCTGTTTAATTGATTAATTTGATTGTTGCATTAATGAGGTATGAACTGTATGAAGTAAGAAGTTAAAGCTGAATTTTCAAGCATTTTTTTATACATGGCGTTTTGAAAATTCAATACAAACATTTTAAGGGGATATTTATCAACCACAAATAAATGTATTTTTTATATAAATGCGAGTTTCAACTTTGTTAGCTTTCGATGTACATATTTTGCATATTTTATAGAAATAGAAAAAAATCAGGTATTTTAACATTTTAACAGATTTTGACAAAGTTGGTCAAGTCTCATTTATCGTCATAAGGGCCTTTATTTGTGTAAATAAAATAAAACCATTTGTGCCAATGACATCCGACAAAGTGGTATAAAAGCTGCTGTAATTTTTTAGATCAAGCAATCCAAATAAACCTTTTTTTATTTTTTTATGCCTAGTTCCGTTTAAATAGAAATCATCCAAATCCCAAATAATTTTTATAGTTCGTCAGCAATTAATAAAAGTCCAGGATTGGGGGTTTTTAATTTTTACTTTGAATTCGAAGCTAGAAACACCAGAGTAAAAAACAAAGGAAACAAAAAGCTTCATTTTTAAATTAAGTCTTCAACAAATCAGCGGCGTACCATGTTTTTTTTTTCTATAAATATCAATTAGATCTCCCCCTGCCACGCTACGGGAATGAATAATTTTGTTTTAATTAAGGCGAAGTAAGGACTCTTTTAACGACCGATCAGTGTGTCAAGTTTTGTTAAAGTCCGCTTTCTGAGTAATAAATTAAAAAACATGTAAAAAAACGATTCTTTCTATAAACATCTGTATCTCTAAAATAAAGCAAGTTAAGACACAAGATTATATGACAAAACGGATATTCTTGACTGATAAATATAACCTTAAAATCTTCGTACTGAATTCTAAAACACTCTGTATAATAATATTCAACATTAACATTTGTATGCACTGGAACTTCCGAGTAAATTTATAGGTATATATAGGGCGTCCCAAGGACAACGTGTTACGCCTTTAGTGATCCAGGACTTTTTTTTTTAATTAACAGTGCCACAAACAGTATGATGTTGAATGCTTTTCATTTTTAGACAACGTTTGTACCTCGATTATGTGTAAACTGATCGAAAACGTAAAAGCTGGTCTGGAGAGAGTTTTCGTGTATGACCTAGTGAAGTATTTACAGAGTGTTAATGGGACCACCTGTATGCCTTTCAACAATTTTATTATGTCTGTTATTAGCTTCCAAGGAATATGTAATACTTAAGAGATATTTCAAATAAAAAGCATATACAGTGTGTACGAGTACAAGGATGGCGATATCGAAAACCATAGGAGATACAGAGTCGGTTAATTTAGCAAACTTTTAAAGAATGTTATGAGAAAATCTTTTTCAGCAAAATTATTCCAGAGTGAACGGGTCTACAAATAAGTTCTTGGGATTAGTATACTATTAAAACACTATTTTAAAAAGAATGAGGTGACATAAAGGGAAACCAGAGAAACCATTTTTGAAAATTTTCTTATGGGTGTAAGATTGAATATTTTCATTAATAGATAGAGCCTAAAAAAATATTTTAGATTATGTATCACATAGTGCATTTATCATTAATCTTCGGGTCACAAAAGCAAAATTTGATTTTTGTATAGTAAGCCAAAAGGCAGATATCGCATATCTATAGTGAATTAGACAAAAATAGAAAATCCGATTTTTAATTTTTTTGAGAATTTGTTAGAAACCACTCACGCCGGAATCATTTTACCGACAGATTTAAGTTACTCAAAAAATTATTTCCTAATTTAACCGACCCTGTATCTCCTATAATTTTCAAGATCCCCAGTCTATCCCATTCTTTTATTGGACACACTATATATTTATTTTTAATTTTTGTGTTGAATAGGCCACGGAAAATACAGATTTTTTTAAAATAAAATATGTAATTTATTACAAAAACTTACCTGTCAAAATAAGATCGTGAGTGCGGCAATATGAAATATGCACCTATAATAATTGTCACATTTTGGGTTAATAAGAGCCATATCAGAAGGAAGGCGAAGGTAAAAATTAAAGTAATCATTGCGAAATGTCAGGACTCTGACTGCTAAAGTAGACATCTTTTTAAATGGCCCACGCTCTTTATTTGAAATAACTCATAACAAACCTAATAAAATTCTCAAAATACATATATATTGTTCTGACTCTCTGACTGCGCCACTGGATCCTATGTAACGACGTCATCCAGATCAATTTTTACCTTTTCTAAAAATCCAAGGTAGCTATGGCATTTGTATTTGTGCCATCTTTCGTTTCATGAAAAAGTAAAATAAGCCGTAAAATCAACATATACGGGAAACACTACAACTGCAACTACAGATAACGCTCCGAAGAAGCCAGCAATATGTTTAGGGAAACAACTGTACCCGACGCAAGAGAAAGAGAAACATTCTGTTTAATATTTTATTGACACTTACCTACCTATATTTTCAAAAAATATTTAGCGAATTGGACTTATTCTTTAAATTTATTTTTTTAATAAATGATGACGCTTGCAGAAGTTGTTTTAAAGATAGGTTCTATCGAGACCGTATTATATTTTTTGCTTATACATTTTTTTCAAATTTACTTGCCAGTTTGTTTGTAATAAAAAGTAAAACTAGTGAATCTTGCCGGGCTAAGCAATCTTAAACTTTTTATATATTTGCTCAAATTTAATGGTGTTATTTATATTTTGATGTTAGTTTAGGAAGCTATTAATAAAAAATAATAATAGTTTACGCTATCAGAATCAGCTTTTTACGAAGAATTTTGTGTATAATACTATTTTTCATATATTTTCTTATCGATGGTTACCTATGTACTGGTCGATGCCAAACGATTTTCGGAAATAATTTTGTTATTTGTTTGGACTACTGTTTTGTAATAAAAATTAATTATAGTGGGGGTCGCAGACTTTTGAAATATCCTACACCCAACCAAAACGACTTTTAGAACTTTTAGTCTGTCCGAAAGCAGCTTTCGTCAATAAGTAAAATAAAAGCGAACCGAATCCTAGTTAATTAGTTTAGAAATTCTCACTTAATCTTTATACCTACACGAATTGCGATTTTAAGCAGAAATAGTAATAAAACTGGGAAGTTATAAGCGTGATACAGGGATTCTCAAAATTAGTGAAGAAGTTTCAAAACATTAATATCTCTTCTTATTATTTTTAACAGGCATACCCTGTTTAAGCTAGAACGTCCTTTGACCTACTTCCTGCTCCACCACGTCTTCTCTTTTCTAAAGAGACTTTATCATATAACTTTCTCACCAGCCTCTTCATTTCCTCTTAATACAACTTTAATTTCCCAGACTTATGGGACATCCTGTATACATAAATTTAGTTTTTTCGCGTTACAATATATCAAGTGTTTACGCCCAATTGGGTATACTCTGTATAGTGTAAATCCAAACCGCGCGTCATCTCTCGGTGAGTGGCCAAACTAAATCCGAACTTTTGATCTCGATCACCACTGTGGCCGGGTGGTGCATAAATTACGCTTTTCAAGTACTTATTAAAGCAGTGCTTAAAAATAGGTGATATTATAGATAGTGGTATTAAAATTCAGATTAAAGTTCGCGTGTTTGTTTATGTTGCAACATACTTACAGAAAAATCTTGAAAAATGTACTGTTTTTTATTTATTATCTATTGGTAATTATAGAATAAAAAAAGATGACTTGCAAATCTATCAAAATCACATAACTTACATTGTTCTAAATAAATTTATTTAAAGTTGGCGTATAATAATCATTTACCCTATATTCAGGTTTTAAGGTTTTTGTTTTTAGTTCTTCAAGATTTGGCTGCACGTATAATACAAAATATTAACAAACACCCTGTACTTATAAAAAACTTCACAACGTCCAAAACTTTATTTATAAAATTTCAAAATAACAAAAATCAACGATTTATAGAAATATACAAATGATATACAAACTATAAAAAATTAATTAGTTAATTGGTTAATAACGCCGATTTGTTCCATTTCAGCTTTTTCCAATGAAGCAAGGCCCGCTTTGAGCCTTTCCAGTGTCATCGATGTCTCTGCGATCACAGCCTAAAATTGAATTTTATAAATATTTAAAACGATAATTTGTCAAAGTTTTCAGGGTTTTCCTTGAACTTGTCCTGTACCTTTGTTTTTATTTAATTACACCTCTATAAGTATAAGACGTTGTGTGTAATCAGGCAAAAATAAAGGCAATAGACGATCACCGAAAAGCCCAGAAAAGTATTGGGTAGGTTTGGTTAGTTTTTTTCGCATTTTCGCAACATTACCTGTACTTGCTGATGGCTGTTGTCCCGCTGTTTTTTCATGCTCTGTAGCAAGTTTCTGGCCCTGAGGGCTTTCAGTTTTTGTTTTTCAATTTTTGAGCCCAACTCCTCTTCTAGCGAAATAAATTTTGTAGCGATTCGTCGAAATTCGTCAATTTCTACAAGGAACACGTAAGGAATCCCCAAGCTTTACTGCCCAACTAGACATTGCGACACTCCAATGTTTAAATTTTTCTTCCGAATTTGTTGCCATTTGGTTAACCAATTTTTTTTTATTGTTGTTATTGCACACGGAAATTCCGAGGCCGCCAATTTTGATTACGAACCGCATTTTTCATTAAAATTTTTAAAACAAAAAAATTATAAATGCAACTTTTTCTTGCTTGTTCTGTGGCAAATATCATTCAATGTATTTTTCTAGGACAACTTAGTGTTTCATATCATTTCTTTGCCAGACGCGGAACACTCACAAATACTCCCCACCCCCCCCCAAAACTACGAACGATGATAAAAAAATGTTAAAATGAAAAGTGCAGTTTCATCTAGATTTTTTATTTTAATCTTTCATAGATACATACAAATATATCTGGGGTAAATACCAGCTTTCTTATTTTAAATAGAACGGCCTGAATATTTTTACAATTTTGGATTCCCTGCGAAACTCAAATATATAGTAACATAATAATAATATCCTATACCTAAGTCTAACCCTTCTCGACAAATCGAAAATAACGTTTGCCGGTCCCAACAGCAGTAAGTTTTTCCTATACGGAGCCTTAAATATTTTATTTTGGGTGGTTTTCTTATGGAAGGGGACCAAAACTTAAATTAAGAGAGAAAAAGACATTACCCCCATCTTAGCGATACGAGTGGTGTATATTAGTTCAAATTTTGTACCTGAATTCTCTGCAGCACCACTTCCATTTCGAAATTGAATTTCGTTCCTAATTCTGTTTTTCCAATTCTTCATTGCATGGGTAAAATTTAAGAGCCCTATGATGCCATTATTATAATAGGAAACTGTTGAATTATAGGTTATTTAGGAAACTATAAATTTCCGGAATGGACAATCTTATACAGTTATCATTCACTGTGCACCAACCGGTATATTCTGTTAAATTTGAATAAAATTAAATTTGTATAAAATAATTTTATAACAAAGTACTTCAGCCCCAAAGTTATTACAAATTTTACTCCTGTCTTTTTTAATAACCAAAATTGATGGGCAATTTTTTTGGTTTTACTTTTCGGGATTGGTTATAAAAAGTAAGACAGTTTAAAGCTTCAACGAGTTTTGGGAAGCATCCCTTTAAATGTCAAAATTGCGAAATATTTTGGCCAGTGTAGATCTTACTTTTTTTACTATAGAGTGCTTAATAAGCAATGTGTGACTTACTTTCAATGTAAATTTGACATTCCTCTTTCAAATCGTTCGCGAGTTTATACGTCTCGGGATCCAAGATGCATATTTTGTCGTTTACTTCGTTGAAAAATATGCCCGTACCCAGAAGGTTCGCCATCACGATTGTTTTGAATGTTTCGTCACCATAGAAACGTCCTCTGCTTTCCGGGTGCGCATTCGTGTGCAATCGACTTTGAAAACTGGGAGAATTATGCAGGGTCAGTAGCTCACATCCTTTATTAAAATTAATGCTTAACCAATAAATTTTAAAAATGATTAATTTTTGAAATCAACTAACGGTTACAAAAAAAAACAGTTAAAAAAATAAACTATGACCAAAAACGTTCATTCGGTTCTAAGACAACGTCTCCTAAAATCTAATGTCGAATATATATTACTATTTTAATAAGGGAGATTATAGAGAAGGAATATCCTTCGAGGCGAGACGCAGCTTGTTCGATTCCGATGATTTAAAAGAAAAAAAAAACGTAATATGCTGAACATTATGATGCAGTTACTTCTAATGGCTCTCCCCTATCCAGAATTTTATAAAAATCCCATTTAGAAGTTGCGCTCTCTAGTGGCCGTTTTAGGAACTTTATCGTTAAGTTAGGTCCAATCTCTCGCGGCCTTTATTAATAGTATATTATGCAAAAAATGCTGTAAACGGCATTTGACTCACAAGTTTATTTGACACGAGTGAGTTAAAAAGTTTACCGAACGTCTTGCGCACTATAACTTTTTCTACGACCGTTAGTTTTTGGGTATATTTTCGCAAAACAACACGAATACATTCACTGACATGACTGTTAGAATTGACAAACGTCAAAATTCAAAGCGTGGGAAATATCTCCGAAAACTTCCGATTGCTCCCAAACCCGTGCGGTAACATCCCCGAAATATCCGAAGCGGCTCGGATTAGTGGGAAACGAAACTGACGTGGTAAAATGACGCTTCCCGCAAGCTAGATCGGGTCGTAATTAGGTATTTTACAAACGGGAGTACAAAAAATTATTGTTATATTCCGTGAACAACACGGCCGATACTTTCCGAGATTAAGCCGCAATTTAGTGAGACGCATCGCTATCAAATTTCTACCATAATCCAGACCAAATCAGAAACGAATAGCGAAGGGACTTCTGCAGAATTAAGGTTCGTTTAAGCCTATTTTTTATTATAGATCTCCTTTATTCATCGGTTTGGCGGGCTGCTAGTTGGCTCGTTTGCTAACAGATGGACAAACGAGTTGTAATGATCGATAATAATACGCGCATAATCTAGTTGACTTGTTGAACGAAATTGTCTTTTGAGTTTATATTAAATATAAATAAATGTGCCCGAGCATTTGTTTTTTCTAAATATTATTGGACGTAAAGTTCATATTTTGATATAAATTCGTATTTGCTTTTGTCTTTTGACACCCGAAATTTGAATTTTATTTTAGTATGGCTCTAACCTGTAGAAGGGGCGACTTACATGTCTCTTTATTCTTTTGAAACGTCACTTTTTTGTATAAATTAGTAAAAAAATCAAATAAATTTTTGTGTCATTTTTACGTGAAAAATGTACACTGAGTAGAAATTGCTATGAGGCTCAGTTCCCGATATATTTAGCATAATCGGGAATTAATTTGATTGTTAGTTTAATTTTCTTTTTTGTATTTCTTCCAATTTTAACAAATCCATTAATTCATTTAAACAATTTTATATTCACAATTCTTGTTTACTTCATAAGTAAGAACAACTATAAACATTTTTTTACAATGGCACTTGTTAAAAAATAATTCTACTTCAACAAATAATACAATTTATTTCATTCTTTAATTTTTTTGTATGAAATCATACTCTGTTTGTTAATGCCAGAGAGTTATAAATCCTTATTGAACTGTAACACTTATTGGTAGCAATATTGTACCTATCATGATTGTATTTAAAGTTTAAAATATAGTTACCTTGTTGCCAAACTTTGTTTTCAAAAATTGCTAGTGTTTCGGAATTGCGCTTTATTAAAATGATAAAGTTATTATTCTCAATCTGTTCTAAGAAAGCTCTTGACCACCAAAACTCAACATTTGTAGTTTCAAAAATATCACTGTGAATTAAATCCTATAGAATTGGTATGAACGCAAGTAAAAGCATTTGTAGCAAGACATAATATCACTTTCATTAATTATATGCATTAAAAACCTCTTGTAAGAGGCCATAAAGACATGGGATTGTAAAAAATGGAGCAAGTAAATCGAATGTGTGATTGAAATAGATAAAAATGCTAGAAAACCCTGCAAATCAATTTATTATCACTCTGAATTCCAACGACTATAGTTCATATGACTACTGGGAACATGATGACTTAAATTTACAAAAGAAGTTGTGTTGGAAATAGCGGATTTTTTTTAAATAACCTGACTAATTACAACTAATTACAAGCGCATGACTGAAGTATAATGTACTTTCGGTCTTCCACATTCAGTACAGGAGTTTGGTACAGCAGTAGGAGACCTAGGCGGCCATGATGCAGTTCAAAGCATAATTATTTTTAGATTGCATTAATTATGAAATAGTGTTGACATTTCTTTGAATGTAGGTAAAGTTGGATCTCCAAGATCAAAGGCTTGTTTTATACCTAGTCACATAATCATGTTTAGGTACCTAGTCGATAAACACAAAGACCCTTAAATCTACGACAAATAAACCCATCAGTATTATGAAACCGGACATCAAATGAATCAAATGAAAGGAAAATTCGAGAATCCATAGAAAACTCTAAACAACCAAACTTAACCGCGACTCAGGTCACCAATGTGGAATCGGTTATCATGTCCCTCCGTTAGCTCCATTCCCCTCAAACGATCTATAAGCAAATGCAGAGTATTCGCTAATCAGTTTCAGTTAAGCTCTGAAGAAGCTAACAGTATAATTGACGAAAATTCAGCAAGTTCGATTCATCAGCAACCGACTCAGGTGGAATTGAGAAGATTTGAAAACAGTTGGAGAACAGATGGAAGTTTCTTTGAAAAAATAAATAAAAATGCGGTCCTTTTGTCCAGTTACACGCTAATTAGCCAATAAAGGGCGTTTCATCTTATAAACACATCAAAATCAGCAGCAATTTTCACTCTAGCAGCGCGCTGCAACAATTATGAGAAACCCGCTGCTGTTGTTCCGCACTTTATTTTCGGACAAAGACATTCGCTTTTTCAAACATGCTTAAGGAAATATTAAGGAAAGGGCGTATACTTTCCAAGAACTTACAAAATTCGACAGTTTTAAAGAATTACAAACCACTCCTTCATTATTTGCCATAGCTGGGGAGAAATTCACTGTTGGTTCATTTTGTTTTCTAAGTTAGTTGGTCAATGGAGTGACGCAATCATTTTGTCTAGACTATCATCCACGTTTGCTGGATTAACACAACAATCATCCCGGTACATTTTTATCAGATTAATTCATGGCGAGGAAGAACTGAATGAAGGAGGAGAAAAACTAACAAAATTCTAATGCCAGTAGGTTTGATTGAAGTGCCACCTTCTACTTGAGTTCTTTACCTCATATTCCGTATGCGTAAAAAGGGATGTGGAAAGAGATGTAGCTTCGTGAAAGTTGCAGTTATTTTGCAGTTATAGTTCAATAAAGGAATAAAAAACGAGTCGACTCTCAAGGGTGCTGGGAAAACCAATTCAAAGTACAAAAGCTCAGGTATAGAAAAAATTTCATATGACAACTAACACGGGCTCATAAGTAGTTTATTTTATTTCGGCCTGGTAGAAAAAGAACTGCCAGTTTAAGTTAAGCTTTGAACAAGCTAGCATTATAAATGGTGAAACGTCAACAAGCGACACAGGAGAAATCCAGAAGATTTGTAAACAGTATTACAGTAGCCTGTCGAAAAATTAACTGCCTTTAATTTCAATTTGGTCTCTGTAAGTATATAAGAATTTTATGTACAATTTAATAGATAATATAGACAGTCACATGGAAATTACGGGTACTAAGCAAACCACCTAAAAACGTTGTAACGTCATTAACAAAAAAGTCTATAAAATATTTTCTCTATTTCCCGTTTTTACGATTAATTTGCTTAGACTTTTTGAAACCCACTGGCCTGTTTTAAATTTCCCGTTTCTATATATCGGTTCCATCTGACCTTCTGGACTGTCGTTCCAGATATACGAACGGTATTGGACACATGAGGTTGACTTTGACCATCCTCAATTCGGACTACAAGACGAGCAACATCGTAGTGTTGTTCTATAGTGTCAATATCAGTAAACTCAAATCTGTTTCCGCATAAGCCATGTAGAAATTTTTGACTCTGTAGAATTAAAAAATATATATCAAAATCAAGAGGAAGTGTGAAATAGGGATCCGATCTCGATTCTTTAAAATTGCATTGACCGCAATATCGAGAAAAGTAACCCTATTCGGCTGTACCATACCAACTTACGAACAAAAAATATGACGAATGTATTGTTTCTGATTGATGCGTCCGAGCCGACGGCGAACGTCCAGGTTTACATATCAAACTCCAGTTTCCTGTCGCGAGCGTGCTATACATCATTAATAAGGTATTTGACGTCAATTTTTATCGAATAACCCTGACGTTTCATATGCCGTACGTTGATCTTTCCTCGTCGTTCGTGTCGTTAAAATCTGGGCTATTCGCGTTTCCTAGTATAAACGTTTTTTTCTAAAGGAGCAAACGTTTTCGAATTTTTAAAAATGTCACACAGGAGATTATCACTAGTATATGTATTCGGATGTTTTTGAAGTCTATTTTGCTGATCTTGCTGCTGATTCAGAGCAATTATAGATAACGCAAGCTCTGAAGCGAAGATTACACCTTCATATTGGAAAAAACAAGAAATTATCATCTGGTTAACCTCCAGAAATATTGAATTTGAATGTAATTTGATAAAGAAGGCACAAGCGCACATATTTTATGATAATATCCAGATAACTAACAGACAACCGCTAACACTATTTTCTCTGATATAGACGACAGTTGTAGCTTGGTGTGAGTGCTTAATGGTGTATTGCGCTGCCAAGTTTCAAGCTCATGTATAGAATTCTACTAAACAAAACAGAGTTGTATAGAAGGTGTTTCCGTTAGCGAGATATGTAAGAGATATGACCAGAGAATGAAATTCAAATGGACAATCACTTGTTTTCCCTTCATGATTCGATGTTCGATTTCTTTTTCTATTCCTTCTTCTTTAAAGATTTTTGTTTCTAGGTAGGTATGTTCTCTACAGGCATCTATGGTTTCTTGGTGCTCCAATTCAATAGCATCGGTTTTGTGCTATTAACTTGATGATATTGATTTTTTGTTTTTATTACTGATAAGTGTAAGATAATCTTTCAACAATCTTCGCGTCATGAATTTTAAATCTTGATCATCTATGAAATGAACGAATCTTCTCGTTCATGATTTATATTTGTTAAAATGTGAGGGAAAGGCAACATCTGTGTCTCAAGCCTTCTGTAATTTCGAAGCTATCCCACAGAGAATTTCGAATCTTTTCACCATTTATATATCTGGTGAATAATTCTTTAAGGAATGTTTTTGTTTTTGGTTTCGTAGTACCATTTTTAAGTAGTCCATGTGCTTGGTATCGTTTTGGTGACTTAAGTATTTAACTAAGCATTTTTTTAGATCCTTCGTCACTTTCCTAGCGTAGTGTTGTTGCTAACTATCTGAATTGACTGAATGTTAATTTTGTTTGTGGTGTTTGTTCTAAGGATCTCGTGTCTCATATAAGCGAATCTACTGCTCTTGGTTTTTATTCCCATGTTTAAACTGAATTTGTAGCTCTTTGTACAAGATTTGTTGTTTGCTTGTTGTTTTTATTTCTTTGTTCTTCCAACGTTGTTGATCAGGAAAAGTTGATTTTTTTCGAACAAGACCTAAGTCGTAAGTAAGAGACATTACGAATCGAAACATCAGATATACATAAAGAATGACAATCTCTAAACTGGAGGTACTAGACGCCAAAATATTGTGAAATGCCAAAATTTGATTTGAATGTTTATTACTATATTCAAAATTGGTTATTGTTAAATTTATTTTTTATCCTACCACATCTCTTAAATATTTATAAAGGTAAGTCAGAAAACATACCTTGAACTTGAACAAATCCTTCAAAAACCAACATAGACGGTCTAAAAAAATGAAAAATCGTAGTAAATAAAAAATGTAATTCAATTTATCTAAATAATAGGGTAAAACTAATGCCCTCTAAGGGCAACATCAAATTCATAATTAATACATAGTAAAACCTAAAACTCATTATTGTTATTATTATAATATAATTAATGAAAAGATTTAGAATAAATTTATATATTGAACGGGGTGTTTTTCATGATCATGATATTTTGGTATTTAGTACCTCTGGTTTAAAGATTACTCATTTTTTTGAATCACCATGCATATATGGTTCGCAATGTCCCTTGCGAGAAACTTATAAAAAAAAATTTGACTTGTTTTCCAGAAATTCTTTCTTATTCTGAAAAAAATGCCCAATTATACAAAAATCTATATTTTTTCGGTAATCTTTCAACGCTTTCGTAGAAAAGACATTTTGTATCAAAAATACGTAAAAATATTGAAATTGACTCGAAATCGTCGTATGTCAAAATGTCTCAGATATGATTTGAATGGATTTTAAAATTAAAACTCGGTTCATTCGGTCGTTACCGCCGAATAAATTAAATCAATTTTGTAAATTGAAATCCCACGTTCTTACAACGACGTCGACGAGTAATACGAATTTCAACTTTACGGGAATTTAAATTCCAGTCGAAAAAACAGATCAAAGTTCGTCCTCGGATTCTTGAATACGATTGAACCCCATTGTAATCAAATTTTAATTTAATTCCAAAAATAATTTTACAACGGCCACTTCCAGTATTAGAAGTTACTGCGCAACGGGAAAGCATTTTTTTTCATTTCGTTTTTTTTGTGTTTAGTAAATATGGCGCTGGTGCTTAAACAACTGTATGAAGGCTATTTTTGGTTATTCAACGAGGTTGCTGGTACGTCTTTACCGAGAATTTGTTTCAATATCGATTAAAAGGTGGCAGCATGAAATGCACTACGTAAAAAAAAATTGTAGTGTGTTAATTTTTTTCAAATTTGTCCATTTCAGTTACCTTTTGTATTTTAAACACCCTGTATGGTAATTAGATGATGAAAACGTAATCTGGTAGATCTTTTTATGCATTATATTAATTTTTAGTAAAAAATGTCTCTCTCTTCTTAGTTCCCTAGTGGAAATGTAGTGGTTAATTCTGCGACGATATCATTGATTCAACTTTTCCAAGTTTCTGTATCTGGGGTCGTCCGAACCAACTCGTGAAATGTTCTGTGGCATCTGCTCAATTTGATCCATCCATCTCCTGGAATAACGCCCTCCTTATCTTTTCCCCTCTACTTTACCATGGATTATGAGCTTCTCCATCGCATCGTCACGTCTCATCACATAGTTAAAAAATTTTTGAGTTTTCTGCAGGGTGACCGCTGAAAATCGCTGGAAAATGCGAAGCTCATGGAGTATTTATACGCTCGACCTATATTCTGTCAATGCTGAAGGATGTATAATTGTCTAAATAAAATATTTTAAATAAACTTAGGTTTTGACATTTTTTTCTTTACTATAAAAATTGTTTTAAAAAAATTGAATGTTAGGTATGTCCTTGATCAAACATATTTTAGAAATTTAAAGAACTAAAATATTACATTACACTATTTTTAGAAGGCGTATAAAAAACTCAATTTCTAAAAGATTAAAAAGATAAAAAAAATTAAATGTAAAACATTGCAATTCTAAAAAGACAATTTGAAGAATGTAATTTAGTTGGGTGCTGTCAAACAGTTGTATTTTGTATTTATCAATTATCTTCTAATCAATCTCATTTTAAAAATTCTTTAGTTTGCTTACCAGTACATAAAATGCATATTTCTGTATTAGTGTAATTCACGATTATTGAATTTAAGCCTTTACTGTTAAACAATTAAACTATAAGATAATACATTTTTGAATTTGATTTTGTATTCAAACTAATTGAGTAATGTCCAATAATAAAAAATACCTTAAGAAGCAGCCCACAATTTTTTTATCTAATAAATTCAACTCAATTCCCTTCATTAAAAAAAATATATATATGCAGAACTTACCTTGGATTCGTCCCCTTAAACTTTTCACAATCGTTTTGAAATATATCTTATATATGCAAATTGTTTAAAAACGTAAACTTAAATCTTATAGAAAAAATTAAATCTATTACGGAAAATCTCTCTAGTGGCGATACAGGCACTCTGATTCAATCCTCTAAAGGCAGCATTGATGGTCAACCACTCCAAGTTTCACAAAATCCGTCCACTCATTTTGAGGGTATTAATATTCATGTTCGAAAATATTCGGACATCCGCGCCACTTTTCCTTAGTGTTTATATTTAAAACAATTGAATTTATTCCAGCTTTACAATGCATTCTAGACATTTAAAAATAACTTTCAGTTTTTGCTCTTAAGTCATAAGCTTTTTTACCCCAACTCTTTGTGCCAATTACTTTTTGAAATAGAGGCGAGTGCCCTTTTTAATTGGCCACTCGGTACCTAATAAAAAGACAAATGTCTCTATCTCGGAGACTGTGACAGAAAGGAACGTCACTTTACTACGTGAGATTCTTGTCCCACGGACCCCACATAGATTTGGGAGCAAGCGGATGTTTTGGTGATTTTACCGCATGGCTTGAATTTTGACGTTTGTCAATTCTAACGGTCATGTCAGTAAATGTATTCGTGTTGTTTTTCAAAAATGTACTCGTTTATTAAACACTTGCTCCGCTCGTGACTCAAATGCCGTTTACCGCACTTGTTGCGTAATATACGATTCTCATCATGCGCCTCATATATCAGCGCAAATTTCTACACCTTGCATATGCGATTTTGAAGTTTTTTTGCATTCAAATTCTTCCCAGATCAGAGGAGCAACGAGTACTTCTTGGGAGGATCACCTCTGGGTATACTGACCATAGTCGCCTTATGGTACCAGTTTGTTTTCAACTGGGGTCCGAAATTTATGGAAAAGAGGCCGCCGTACGACTTAAAAACCGCAATAATTGTGTTCAACGTTTTCCAAGTGATTGTTAACGGATATATCGTATTTGAAGTAAGTTCCGTTAATTAATATTATTTGCTCCAAAAGTAGTTTTGAATTTATTTGTTTATTAGTATTACTAGAATAGCCTATTTTTTATATTTGTTACACTACCAGAAACTTCAAAATCATAGGTACCAAAATTGTCTTTGCAAACGACTCAATGGACTGTGCAAGTCATAGTATGACTAAATGGAACATAAAATAAATCCTTGAAGAAACAAAACTATCGATATTACCCAACAATAATTTCAACAACAGACCAAGAAGATTGCATTTGACAGCATATTGAAGGGTTTTAAGCGAATGTACGTTTAATTTTTGAAGTGATATGCAGGGTGTTATCTAATTATTTGTCAATAGTTGACAAGATTATTTTTCGACTCCACTTTAAAAATTTATATGATACTGATATGATAATAGATAATGTTTTAAAAGCATTTGGTAAGACGATGGACTGCCGAGAAGATTCTCGCCCTGTTTGTTAGTTGCCAACATTTATATGAAACTACTTGAAAACCTAGCCCTGGCAAACGAAAAGACGAAGATGGCCGAAATAATTTCCGGAGAAATTGGTGAAACGGCACCACCTTGGGACTTCAATATACCTATTGTAAATCCACATCCTCAGGTTCTCATCTGATCACCACTACGTTACAACGTTACACATCGTTGAGCTCCGGTGGACATGGCTCTAATCTTATGAACGTATATTCATCTAAACAGAGTTCTGCGAGACTTGGAAGCTGGAAAAGACAAGTGGAAACTGCAGAAAAAGATAACTAACTTATGCTCAACATTCTCAAGGTCAAAGGTCAAAGAAAAAAAAATTTTAGCAAAGCTTCTTTGATTAAACATTGAACACGTATTAATATTGTTATTGGAAAAATCATCAACATCAGTTTCATCATTATCATCAAACAGTATTCGAATGGTATTAATATTAATTTTTGGATGCGTAACCATTGAAACCGTCGTCTGCATAAGTATAGTAAATATGACTGGATTTTTTTTCAGGGATTTAGATTAATAAAAACAATCGATTGGCGATGTGAACCGATCGACTACGATGACAACCCGAGAAGTAGATTTATATTGAATATGGTTTACCTTTACTTCTTAACCAAAGTAGCAGATCTTTTAGACACTGTGAGTATTAAAGTTAGATCAACTGACAGATTTCTTAAAATGATCTCATTATTTAGTAATGTGTTTCCGTAATTTACATAATTAAAAAGTAAGCTACTCAATTATATGACTTTTTTATTTGAACTGTATGCAAAATAATACACAAAATCAATCAATTTAACTTTATAATATATCCGAAAAAGGCCAGTGACTTTGGTGAGTTTAGAATTTAGAATCACAATAATATGTGCTAGTGGAAAATTTATACATAAATACATAGTTAATATTCTCAAAATCAATTCTACGTAGCTAGGCTACTGAAAACCAGTTAAAGTAATTAAAACGTAATCCTTATAAGATTTTTAATACTTTAAAGTCCTATAAACTTCAATATTAAAAAAGTATCTTAGCTTTACAAAACTCCAAAAGTCAGTCTACACAAAAATTATTGCAGCTTTTGTTATCTGTACCTCTGTGTATGTGCTGTTATAGCTACTAATTTATCTAATATATCTATAGTATATAGTATATCTAATTCAAAATTGGCAACCAAAATTCACCAGACCACTTAATTTTTGGTATTACCGTTTTTTTTTTTCAATAAAATTGACCCGACCTACTAATAAATCAAACGAACTATTGAAAATGTTTGGATCGTTCGCTATTAAAAAATAACTATTTTCGTTCGTTTCAGGTATTTTTTGTTTTAAAGAAAAACTCGAGGCAAGTCACTTTTCTGCACACGTACCATCACTCTGGGATGGCCCTCACGATTTGGCTGGGATTTAAATTCGTTGGCGGCGGCCATTCGGTCTTTTTGGGGTTCGTGAACGCGATCGTTCACACAGTCATGTATCTTTATTATCTCTTATCTGCATACGACGAAAAATACAAACACGTTTTGTGGATCAAGAAATTCGTCACTCAAATACAATTGGTAAGTACTGGCAGCTTAACGAATTATATTACATTGACATATTATACCAATATTTTGATAATCTAATAATAAAACAGCCGTATATATACATAACATCATTATAGTAGGAAAATGTTAAATTGACAATTATTTCGAAAACTATAAATATTTATTTATATTATTTATAAATTTAATCATAACAATAGACGACAACCTTGTTCAAATGTTCATACAAAATCGGATAAATTTGTGAAAATAGGGGATTCTATTTGAAAAATTGAGTTTTTAGGTTTTTTGTAATTTAATTTCTGTTCTTAATTATTGCTCATCCGGTAATAATTTACATTTAGTAATATCCACTCAATATTTGGCAGTACAGGAAAAATTGTTAATTATTATAGTGCCTCCAAACGACATTTTTGACATAAAATTCAAGATTTACCGAAAACGGTTAGACTTAGGACATTATACATGAAATATATTTACAACGATATACAAGGGGGGTCTATTCTGTATTTCCATTTAAGTTTTTTCTTGTCGTTCGTCGTTTTTGAGTTAAGACGGTAGGGAACCTTATTCCGGACAGCCTGATACTTTCGAGTTGTTGTTTATAAATCAATCGAATAATACGCTCATATAATCAGCGTAAGGCGTAGGGAAAAATTTCTTAAAAAGGAAAAATTAAAAATTCTTTTTAGATTCAGTTTATTTTCCTCCTGTTTATATACGGTCAGACGCTGTTCATGAAAGACTGCAAATTTCCAAAAATCGTCGCCTACTTCTTCGTTCCGCAAAACTTTTTCATGATTGCTTTGTTTGCGGATTTCTACTACAAGAGCTACATCCGACCACGAAGGACTTTTAAAGGCGAAAAATACAACTAACCCACACCTGTGGAGAGTACAAATCGATCAGTAAGTTGCATGTGTAAACCACCACCTAACTAAAATTTAAGAGTTCATGGGAAAAACAAGGTATTTCCACATAAATACGACGTAAAGAAGACTCGTTAATTTTAGTCTATTTTCAGCACTCTTATTTATTATGCCTGCTCCTAACTGATTTGCAACACTCATGCCACTACGATCACTTGTTACAAATGCATGTAATATTTTCGAGAAAAATAAAACCGCTACAGTAAGACTTTTTAATTTCTAAAGCGGCCCTTTTTAATTTATGATTTAAATGAACATACCTGGTTTTTTCCTGTACTCTTCAATTATAATGAACATTGTGTATTATACCGGGTGGCCCGTTTATTATGGGTTGCGATGAATTTCTCAACAACAAACAACAAATCAATCCTGACAATGGTTCACACCATCATCCTCTAATCATGAAAAAATATAATATTGCTGCTGTCAAAGATAGGAGAATCCAAAAAAACTAAAAACCAGAATAAGCAAACCCCTCATGGATAGTATCTCTGTAACAACACAACAGAAACTGCAAACGAACAATGGATCAGTTACATACCAATTTACCACAAGTTACAGAAAATGTATTAGGAGAGGATACAAAACCAACTAACAAAGAATAGAAGACTACCGAAATCTTTAACCGGAGAGAAACTAGAAGAAAGGAGAATAAAAATAAACAAAAACATGGTGAAATTGATTGCACCACAATTTGGAAAAACGAACAACTCATAGCTCTCTGTGCAATGTGAAGCATCTGCCAAACATAACGATTTCCACTTAATTTTTTAACTTAATTTAATCCTTGAGATGATGGAGCATCTGGGCCCCAATACTGGAATCAGAAATGTCATATGCGCTAAAAATATTTATCAACAACAAAACCCCAAGTCAAGACGCAGAAGTAGTGAAATTAGTTATTAATAAAACCATATGTGTGCGTTTTAACCGTATTTATGAGGCCGAAAAGAATCGCTAAGAAAACAAAGAACATCAGCATAATGGGTCGCTCATTAAAAGCGTTTTTGAAAGTAATTTACAAAATAATTTACTGCAGATGCGAACACAAATGACAAAACCGAATTCGACAATATAAAAATTAAGGGAGTGAATTCTCTGGGGGCTGCTTTAGGTACATATGTAGAGAAAATATACAAATAGCCTTCGAGAACGCCCGAAAGGAATGAAAATAGATGGCATATATTTATTTAGTTTTAAAATAACACTATATATAAATAATAAAAAGAAATATTATAAATATAAATAAAAAACGCTACTACTAGATTTTTATACCTGGTGATGCATTGCCGAGCAGACCATAGGAAATCCCATGAAATTTTTAGGTAGCCAAATTTTTTGAAGGAGTCGGTACGATTAACTTATGTGCCGAGTTTGAATAAATTTAAATAAGGCCATTTTTAGTAATTCAATTAAATATGATGGCAAAAACCGAAAATTTTTATAGTTTAGGTAATAAATCAAAGACCAGTAAAATACATTTTGACAATGACAACACGAAAATTCGTGACAGTAACAATATTTTTGATTGTGATCATTATAGGTTATTAGACTCGCTTTAACTAAGGCTAAAGGTGCGAAGGCGATAAAGAAAGAAGAATAGCATTGTGTTTTGAAATGAGGGAAAAAGCAAATAATGATAGGAATTTTTAAAAAAATATTTGTTTCACTGATAGAATGTACATTCACGCTCAAAAACGAACCAAATGTTCAAAACTGTCGGTATTGGTGCCAAGACAATGAATATCATTTTTTTCATTCTCGAAGGCAATATCCTCGACAACAAAAAATCATGGTGGGAATTTGCGGACATCATTTTTTTATTTTTAAGTTTTGTTCATATTTTTTACAGGTTCTGAGGTAAGGCGTCTTCTCTCAATAAACGGCCCACCCGGTACGTTGTGTGCCCAGCGTTGCAAAACGTTTCTAGTATTTTTTGCTGTTGATGATTATTGTTAAATTTATAAATCTATGAACTAATCAAAACATGTAAAGCCTACCGCTTCCAAGTCAATGTTTGACAAAAAATTCGTTTTTTTTATTATTCTACCAAAGACTTTGTTTTCAGCGCTTTTAATACTTACCATTCTTTGCAGCGATCTATGAGCAAAGTCTATTTATTTATTACTTTATCATTTAGCTTAATTTTTTCGAAATTTCCATTTTCTCCACTTTCGACAAGATGAAGACTAAAATCTATTAATTGCCGGAACCAGTTGTTTTGGTTTACGCCTACCCCGTAGTACTGTATACTCAGAGTTTACTCTTGTAGAGTAATAATAAAATGCTTTCGCTGTTTATTTTAAGTTACTTTTATATTGTACAGAGTTATGTTATTAAAAATAAGCAAATATTATTTGTTTTTATTAATACCTAATATTATATATATATATATATATATATATATATATATATATATATATATATATATATATATATATATATATATATATATATATATATATATATATATATATATATATATATATATATATATATATATATATAATTTATTTAAAATTATATGTAATATATATAAAAATCGTTTTTCAGGAATGAACTTCGAGAAAAGTAAAGTAATTTTAAAAATAACAATTATATTGTTTTCCTATTGCAAATTATTTATTTACTATATTCTACAGATTAGTATAAATATATTTATTAAACGAATTTGTATCTATTTATAACATAACATAACAAAAACTCTATGCCCTATAAGTATAAAAATAATTTTCAATAGTAAAACAAGGAAATTATTATTTTTGAATTTATTTTTAGTGATTTCTTGATCAATTGAGAGGAAAGGGTGACTGAATGACGAAAAAAGCAAGGATTTCATTTTTATTGAAGTTTAGTGGAAAATAACTTTTTAAAAAATACCTTTATAAAAAATTATTAATAAAGCTTTTTTGTTGAGAATTAAAATATTTTTTTTTCCTATATTGGGTTGTTTGTTACTTACACAATTCGGGGAAATACATTTTCCTACAAAAATATAATCAAATATTTTTACCTCAATTGTTTGGCTGTTTTGACACAATAATGAGATCAGAATAAAAGAAATTAAAAAAAAAACAAATGAATAAACCTCCCATCAATATTTGGGGTTCAAATTTTCACATTATTTTTTCTGTAATTGTGAATAATTTTATGGAATGACTTTTTCCACATAGTCTATTTGTCCTCTTCTCTACTTCATCTGCTGCTTGAACATATTTACGAAATTGCTGGTGCATCTACATACATGTCGAAAAGTCAACAAACAACTTTGACATAAACCGTCGAACCAAAATCGCACCGCAATCCCATTTCTCGCCAATTCATCAAAACGTTAGAAATATAAAAGTTACCAGTAAAATTTGTTTATTTGTGCTTACACTACCGTAGTATTTAATTAGAAATGATTCACCACAATGGACATAATATCGTTGTCGCATTTTGTATTGAAAATATTTCACATTTATCAATCTTGCTGGATTTTTATTTTTATTATCGATTTTGCATTTTGGTGGCTTGGGTAGCAGTGCTTCAGGGTTAACTCCTTCATATTAAGGAGGAAACAAGAGTAGTGATGGAAGAAAATGTGTTGGAACTTAGGCCACCTATAGTTTACAATTTATAGATCACAATTTCCCTGCTACGTTACATCTGTTTGACATCCCTTTGACCTATCGGAAATACCCATCTGAATACGTCAAAAGATTAATTGGCAGCTATTTTGTTTAGTTCTGAAATAAGGGGGCAAGACATACTTGACAATATTGCTTTTAAATTAAATCAAAAAGATTTATTTAAAAATACTGTAAGAACTTCGGATAATTATTAGATAAATATTTGAGAATTAAGGATCGAAATTAAAGATTACGTTCTCAAACTATATCGCTTTGGCCTTAAATCTCTACCAAAAGGTAATTGCAACCTTCATACCTAGTGGTAAAATTGTCAAAAATGTGTATGAATATTTGATAAGTAGAGGATTCATTAAAGAAGAGAATTTGAAAGGAGCCTGCCTATATGAAGGATTCGGGAAATTTTTTACAGTGAATTATTTAGTTAAAGAAAAAACGTAGATTTTGAAAAGAAAATGCTTATTGAAATAATTAATGATAATAACTATAATTCTGTATGTAATGATTAACTGCGTATTGATTTGAATAGAACCTTCAAACGATCTTTTTCGTACCGTGTTGTTTCGTATTTATCAATAGTACTTTTTGGTAGTGCCTCAGTCTCTCACTATAAATATTTTTTCTCTCTGAAATACAAATATGCGATCATTAAGTACAAAACATTGTAATATTCACATTTTATAATGCACTCTTTTTTTTATTGAGCAAATATATTTCCAATTATTATTATTGTTATTAAATACGCAAAATCACTGAAGATGCTTTACGTTCAAAAATGTATATTAATATTTCCTGCAAATAGTTATATTCTTTGTCGAGGAAGACAATTATAGTAAACTTTCGCATAGGTGAAGGGTTATGTTATTAGTCACGAATTAACAAAAGTCAATTTTTTCAAATTATATTTTTATTGACCAACATTCTTTAAAGACCGCAACGGGCATTTCATAAAATAAACGAGTAGAAAAACAGTTTTCCCTCAATCTAAAACAAATCAATTATGCAAATTTAGCAACTTAAATTTCCCGGCAATTTGGACACAATCAAATTCCCCAGAACTCGTCTCCCAAATTTGCCTATTAGCCTTGATTTTTAACCTAAGAAGAAGGTCATTACCCAAAAATTCTCCAAAATTGTGAATCTCTTATAATAATTTTAACTTGTAAAATATGGATTACTGTTAATTCCAAATTCAAGAGACAAAATATCAAAACCATCTCTTTCTGACATTGCAAGTAAGGTGTGATTCGGTTCTTTTGTGAAATAAATCTTTTAAAATCCAATTAAGGCAGAATAAAGACACAAAACTGAATTACAATGAACGAATTAATAAAAATAAAAACAATAGTAAAAATAAATTGTATAAATACCTTTAAATTAAGCAGCAAGTTTAGCAAAAGCATATTACAA